TTTTCATGATGTGCAAGGAATAGTCAACTTGAAAGAAGTTTTATTTCTTCATTGAAGTCTTCTCCAAGCATTTCAGCACTAATAATTTAGAAATAGTCCATCACTAAGAGATGTTATTGAGATCTATTTAAAAGGTCTGGGACTACTAGCTATGGTTTATTTCCTCAAGCTAGAATTCCACCTTGTCTCAGGAAAGAGCATAATTTGACATTAGAATATGCTATCATTTGGTATTAGAGCAAATAAGGTACTCCCTAAATTAAGTAACTACAATTGACAAAATTATTTGAACCTCTCTGAGCCTCAATTTCTTTATATATAAAATGGCAGGGCCATGCTAATTCTGCTAGTTTGTTGTGAGGATTAAATGAGACCATGTAATAGCATAATACATTTGGGTGTTTGTATATTTCTTGAATACAAATGGAAGTAGAAACCAAAGAAAACTGATAGGAGTGCTTGCCTGTAGGGAGGCTCAGAGACAGATTTGGTACCTTATAAATTTTATATTTTTAATTTTGTACCATGTGCACATATTAACTATTCAAAAATATTCATTTTAAGTGAACAACATAAGTAATAAAGCCATCATATTATATTTATTGATATGGATAAGGTGCTCAATAAATGTAAAAATGTAAAATTATTCCCACACCCTTCCATTCTCAAGAAATGGATCTCATTCATGCTGTCACGGGGTGGAGGAGATGAGAGAGAGAGGAGAGAGATAAATTTCTTTTCTTCTCTTTTCTAATTACTCTGCTACTCTGTGAAATGGAATTGACTTCAGGTGTTAAGAACATAATGGTTTGGTCTTTAGGTTTGTTTGATTTTTGCTCACATCCATGTCACACTTCACACCTGTGTTAGTAATGTGGCGATTTCATCAGTAAATTTTTTTTCACCCTCTCTTTCTCCTCACCACAACCTTCGTAGGAATTGTAATCCAATATATTAACTGATCTAAGCCACATTTTTTACTTCATTTTAAGCTATGAACAGAAAGTTGAGTACATATGAACTTTTGTTTTTAACATGCTTCTCAGGTAACTCTGCCTTGGTGGAATTGCAGTTCACTAAACTTTGTGCTCATCTGAGTAAAGAATGTTCTCCTTAGAGACAGTTAAGAAAGCTTACAGTTAAGAAAGAATGGCAGTGTACTCAAATAGCGATTTTCATATTTGACAATTTCTAGATTGTTAGCTACATTCTCTCAGCACTAATTTATCTTAGTCTGATGTATAATTTTTGAGACATCAAACTGCCTATGTGGTATTTTTTTTAGAGAGACTTTTAAAAACTTTGTTGGACAGAGTATCCACAACCACTTTTTGACACACATAACAACTACTTGAGTATATTATTCTACTTATTGATTTAATAAAATTGGACAAATATCATATTTTCTTTTACTGGTACCTCATTATATATGGAAAACCCAAAAGTATGTATCTTAGCCATAATGCTATTTGAATCATCATAGGATAACATTTACCTAATATACTACTTCAGATTTTCAAGAAGACTTATATTTGGGGTCATAAAACTAGAAAATTAAGACTGTGCCCAAGAATCAACATGTAATTTGATAACTTCATAAATGAATGACCTAGAAACTACAAAAGAAGTTTGGCAAGCAGGCTTTTTTTTAAAGATATTTGTTCTCCAAAACTAAGCCAATTGAGGTATAATAAATTTCTTATACTCAGATATCATTAGATCATTTCAGATAGCCACAGAATGTAATAAGTCTTTGAAACATGATGCAAATGCACAAGTGTATTAAATGAAATATACTCTGAATCAATATTATATATCTGCTTAAGAGAATACAAGAATAGGATATTCCACCACCTATACATTTGGGTCAAATAACAAATATGTCATATAATATCTGAAGCTGAAGCAATCAACCTTCATAAGAATCCTATAGACTTTTCAGCAGAAAATCTGATCTAAGGCCTGGTGTAAACGAATACTTACTGATATTGAGCATTGACAATATGAGAATGTACCCTTCATGGCCATCTAATCATCTGGTGCCCTCCAGCTCACAGAAATCATATTGACTCTTGCTAAAAATAATATTTGGGTGGGAGGTAATTTCCTATGACTGGGGGCAACTGGTGCCTAAACTTGTTCCTTCGCTTGGTTTCTAAGTCAATTTCTTAATTTAATTCTGTTTTTAGTGATAAACTAAGTCAATAGCTCTTCTACTGAAGAACTCTTCTGTTTTCTCTGAATGATTGACCTATCTGTTGTCAAAAGAGAAACAAAATCACTCTTGTCTTTCTGCCTTTGCCTTTATTTATATTAATTTTTGCCTTCCTCATGTGGGAATGGATAAAAAAATAAGTATAAGTTATAAAACAACTAAACAAATGAGTAAGAGAAACAAATACCTATCTATATCCAAATGGTAGTTTCTTTTGTTGTTGTTTGCGTCATTTCAGCTCTCTCCTGAATAGAGTTTATATGTAATAATAACCATAATTTTGGATTTTACTCACACTAAAGCAAGCTAAGAGAAAAACAATTAACGACATTCTTTACTTTTCTATTTCTGGTTATACTTCCTGTTGGGCATAGTCTTACCTGACTACACTCTGATATGAAATTGTTTCATTTTCACCTTTTGGTTGTTTTATTTTCACCTTTCCGGATATTCATCACGTAACATGTGGTTGAAAGGGCAATGAGGTTCAACTAATAATTTAATACTTTTGAATTTTTCAAGATAAAGAGGACACAAGGCATTCTTTGACAGGTGTTCCAACATCAAAATGTTTGAAATTGACATGAGCATTTTAGGCCGCTTTCACGACGCATTTTTAACTAACACCTTCTTATTCACCCAGATCAAGAATAATAATTCACCTGAAGTTTAAAAATTCATCACATCTATTTCTCGATTATTTGTAAAAAGATAAAATATCAACCTTAATAAAAGTGTTATAGTTATTGAATACAGGTTAAAATTAAGCAGACAATGGGCATTTAAATATTTCAAGATACCTTTGAAACTTATAGATACCTTATTCATAGTGTTTTTTGTGCTCTTAGAAAATGGTTATTTCTTGACTTTGTGGGCAGTTAAACTGTTATTGCAGCATATTATCGTGAGAGCAAGTCAAAATTGAACATGATATTTAATTAAGTGAAGAGAACACAGGACGCTTTTGAAGCCCAAAGATACCATACTATGACGATTTAGGATGTCATATGACTATCATTCATTTAGCTAGTAGTTTTTACTTAATATATTGCCAGACCATCATTTTTATTTGTCTTGATTGACAATAATCCAAAATAAATGAGCAATTTTTTAAAACTTAATCTCCAACATAAGGCGTCTTTCTATTAATATTTAAAATCATGACTTGGAGTTGCTCAGTGATTCTCTCTGTAGAGGGTCTCCAAAGCCTGGTACATCCAAACACATCAGAGAATCACAGGTTCTATTGAAAGAATTGACTTGGGTTGGATCACTGAGAATGTCTGTTTTCATTACAAAGCCCTTATTTGCAAGTGAGAATTGAGGGTGTGAACATAGAATATCACATAAAGAATCAAATTAATAAGATTTCCCCAAAGGCATTTATAACTGAAGATGCACAGAAAGTTTTTGATTCATCTAATAAATATGAAAGTCTTTTGGAAATGATAGTGTTATACAAATGTTTCAGTTTTGATTTATCTATTCCTACTTTATTTTCGGAATATGTTTCAAATCAATGAATTTAGAAACATTAACTTGTCCAAATGATCAACAAGATAATATTGTTTTACTGTCATTATGGTAGATTATTTAGAGAAAATTTTATATTTTTTTGTTTTGTTTTGCTGATAATTCAGTGTAAGTAAGCAGGAAATAATATGAGGCATTTTCTGTTTAAAGGAAAGAAATTGTAATTTTTATAAACTTCAGTTTATTAAAAAGTGGTATGGTTTAGCGTAAGGGTTTGGGATTAAACAGGCCTACATTTGAACTTTCACTTTGACTTGCCTAGTCTTTAGCTGAGCAACCTTGGGTTTCTTGAACTGTAAAATAGGGATAACATTTACATCATGGGGTTGTTGACAGAACTAAATGAGATAATTTGAAAATGTCAAGCCTGTGCCTGACTGCCTGGCAAACACAGAATGGTATTCAGTAAATATTAACTTCTCTTTCTCCTTCCTTTTTTCTTTTCCTTTCTATTCTAATTTTCTAAATATGATTCCTTCATTATTAAACTCTGACCTAGAGTTAATTCAGTTTAAATAGTAATGAGTCAAAGCACAACAGAATCTTGAGCTGTAGTGATAATGACCTGTGCTTGTCAAAATTTTCTGCAAGCGCATTTCTGTTATATCTGAGACTATGCTGTGACTTGTTTTTTGGATTATATGATAGCTTATATCAAGTTAGACATTTCTCCCACTTGATATATTAAAAAATAAAAAGCAAGAAAAAAATTTGGCAAGGAAAGTATTAGTCCTTTCTAAATTATAGCAAAATCTCATTAATTCAGATCCCACTAAAGAGGAAGTATATTATAAATTTAATCTCCATTAAAATAAAAAACTATAAGCAATAGTTACAATGATACCTCACTCTAATAAATAAGGATATTAAATTATAGTAGCTTTACACATGTAAAAACAAACTGTGATAAATATAATTTGCATTTTGCACTCTAAGTTTGTCTCTGGTCACAGTAGAAAAGAATAAAATTTCGTGTCTTAGTAATGTCCTCTGAATCATATTTTACTCAACTTGTCTAAGTTAGTACTAAATGAGTAGTCAGATACTTAATCAGTGAATGATCATTTAGTAAAATACTTTCTTCAGCAAAGACATAGGATTTAAATAAGTAGCTTTGCATAATGATGCAGAGAACATTTCTGTTTTCTTTTTAGCATGGTCTTAACATCAAACTTGCATTTTGCTTGTGTTGTTTTTCTTGGCTTAATTGAATTAAAGTGTGTGTATGTGGTTTCATTTTGCCACAACACAGATGGAGAATTATACTCTGGAACAGCAGCTGATTTTATGGGGCGAGACTTTGCTATCTTCCGAACTCTTGGGCAGCACCACCCAATCAGGACAGAGCAGCACGATTCCAGGTGGCTTAATGGTAAGTGGTGTGTGCAAGAGCATAAGCACGTAACACGTTCTAACTGTAGTCATTCAATGGAGAGCTTTTCTTGTACAATACAAACAGTATGACTTCAGTATGCAGTTAGGCTCGTGGTGGTGACTTCATTACTGTGGGTGTGAGAAAGTGTGGCAAAAAGAGAAAAGAGAGATTAAAAATTCAGGAAAATATAGCTTTGTGCCAAAATTGAAGTTTCTCAGTAGTTAAGTATGGAAAGAAATAGTTCTGGGCTGGAGCTACGGAAGGGAGACAGTGGAAAAAGATAAGATGACTTACCAGTCTTATCTTACAGGGACACCACAACAAATTTCATGATGTAGTATTTTTTTTCCTCCACACCTCTCATATTGCCTTGAGAGCACCATATAAGCTACTGAATGTTTAAAAAAAGTTGTAGCACTAATAACAGCATTATGTTGAAAGGGTTTTCAAAATTTCAAAGAACTTTTATATCATTTCACTTGATTCTCCTTTAATCTTCCTAAAATCCTCTCTCCTGTTTTATAGGTGAGGAAGTTAAGGTTAATCTTTTATCTAACGTTACATCTAACCTAGTAGTAGAAGATTTGGAACAAGAACCCAGTTTTCTGAACTTCAGGCACTGGCTTCACTACTTAATGAAGTAGATACTTTTTTTCACTCTCTTTCTCTTTTTAGAACATAAATAAACTTAATATAGGAGAAAATGTACAAAATTTATAAACCTAAAATAAGTGCTATGTTCATTCAGATTTTAAACCAAATAATCCTTATATATTCATCTAGTAGGTTTCTTTTTATTATTCACTTACACATTCATCAAAGATTTTTATAATGGTCCCCACAATATTAGCATGGTTATTTTTTATTATTAAATGATTATTTCCATTTATATCTGCCTTCAATATTATACAGTAAAACTGTTCAGTCACTAGTCTCTCATCCATGAACTTTTTCCTGGTTTCACATGCCTCATTAATAAGTACAAAGCTCACGATTTACAGTCCATCTGTGTTCTCAGTAAGATACTTATTTGCCTCACTCTTTGAACTTCTACCATATTTGATTTTCCTGCTTTTCTGGGGGAACCGAAAATTCATTTCATCACCTGTGTCTTTCATTGGTTTGTTAGAGGCAAGTCACAATTCTGCCACTTGAACCTTACTGAAACTTCAGGAGACTATGAGTTGTGTGTAACAATCTGTGTTCTAATATATCCCATACTTTAAACATGATGTTTATTCAAAATGTAAAGCATACCTCAAATTACCTCAGTCAACATCTCTTCTGTCCTGCAACAGCATTTCTGATTGTCCCAGGATTTTTCATGTATTAGTGAGAATGGTGTGCCTCTTACCTTCCACATTTGACCCTCCTGCTCTTGCTCTTAATTGCATTGATGTTTTTTCATAAATTTACCCAATTTGTGTTTCTTTTGCTGTCTGTGTCTCTTCTTCACCACAGATTTCTTCCTCTGACCTGAAAACTTGCTTGTTTATCCCTTAATCATGGTATGCCATTAAGTCCCTATGTGTCATAGCCTGGTTAGGAACATATTTCCTCAACATTTTTACCACCTTCAGCCGCTTTCAAACTGACTTTGATCTCATGAAACAGCTCCTCCAAAGGTCACTAATGATTTACTATACCTTTTTATCAACCCTCATTTAGACAATCTCACCTGCAGTATTTGTCACTGTTAACTAGCCCATTCTCTTTAAAAGAGTTACTTCTCTTAGTTTCTCTTATTTCCTGCTCTCTCGAGTTTCCAATAAGTTTGACATCACTTCTCTATTGTTGTTCTCTTAAATGCAGATGATGCCTAAGATCATTCATGATTTGAGTACAAACCCTGTGGCAATCAAAAAAGATCGGACGTATAGTCAAATATCCACCCCTGTGGGTAGAGGAGGTATAGTGGTACCTGGGCAACCATCGGAGAAAGTAGAGGCCTCACCAAGGAAAAGAAAAGTTGCTGAGATCACAATAAGGCTATCTATATAAAACTATAAAAGAGCCAAACTCCAAAATGCGAAAGGACAATTTTGGACTATCCGCTGTCAATTATTAAACCTTGGCTTTGTATGAAGTCAAAATTAGTAGGAAAAAACCTCTTTCAGCCTTGCTATCTGGTCTATTCTCAAATTGAAATATTTATGTAGAAGGGAAAATGTTTACTTTTTATTCAGCAAGAAGGAGACTTTGATCTACTAAGAACTCTGAAGGGCATACAGGCTTTCATTGTCCATGAGAAAGAAAATCTCAGTACAAGATGGAATGACATAAAGGAGAGTATAGTATCCATTTCATTTTTATGGCCTTGGAGGAAAAAAATCGTCAAGTTAAAGCTGCTTTTGTGCTACACACTCACATGTTGACAGCTGAGTCTGAAGAATTTACACTGTGGGAAAAGAGTCATTGTCCACAGCTCTGTACTTCATCTCTGCAAATGTGTAGTTCATTTGAGAATTCAGTTATCAGTCTCTCAGCACTAAATGTGAGAACTGATTTTACCAAATTTGCACAGGGCTTGCATTTGACAGGGTGCAGAAACTAGAACTGCTGGAGGACGGGGGATGCAGGCACGTTTGAGATAGAACCAAGGGACTGTGTGAATCACAAGCCTCATGGAATTAAATACCTTTCCAGAATAAAACGGGAAACATAATCTTTACACATTCATGCATAAAATAAATGAGTTTTGAGGCATCAGCGTAGACTACACAATCATTTGTGCTGCCAGAAGTAATAAATTACCTTGCAAGGTACTTTTTGAAAAATCTTCAGGACTATTAAAGTTAATTTTGGCACAGGACTTTACTTTTCTCAAATCAGTTCAAACCAATTCAGTTATCTTGGAAGAATCAGTTGGCTTATTTTAGATGACTTCTAATTTTTCTCCTTGCTTAAGAAAAATAAAAGTTACCTGGAATTGGATCTTGAATTACTTTTTTTTAAAATGGAATTTCACTCTTTTCATAATTGCTCACTAATATTTACATTTTCTATAATAGTATCAATAAAGGTTTAAATTCAGTTTTATTTTAATAGCAAAAATTAGGGAGGGGTAATACTTTTAGATGAAAAATCATGAGAAAGATAGAATCTACTGATTTTTTACATAACTGCTTTTTGAAAATCACCATTTACACTAGCCCATAGTTTATAGTTGTTAGATGTTAGAACAACTTTTGATTTCAGATAATGTACTTGTACGTGTTTGATATGATGTACCCAAATTCACTATGCTTTTTTCTTGTGCTTCATAAATTCTTTCAATATTCTACTGTTTTAAATTTCAATTCCAATTTCAACTCACTAACAATAGGAAAGTTAGGTAAAATTTTTCTGTGCATATGTATAATAAAGAAACAAGTAAGTTTATACTGTTGTTATAGTAATGATTTTAAGAAATTACTAAATTACATTTAGTATGTAAATGTACCACCTAGTTCTTGTACATATTTGCCATTCATTAGAGCAGATGGATGGCTAACCTATGTTTATTTTTCTGTTTGATGGACATATTTCCAATATTGTTTGTGTCTTGGACTAATATTCAGATGCTGTATGATATGAAGGAAAAACTATAGACTTTAGAGTGGGACAAAGTTTCACCTTGACTTTGGACTTGATTTTTAATTGGACTAATACTACCTACCTCTTACAGTTGTGAAATAAAATGACCACATGATAATGTGTAAAAAGTACTAAGCAAGTGATTGGCATATAATAAGCAGCTAATAAATGTGAATTTTCTCTGTATCCTTTATCCCACTTCTGTTGGGTGGAGCAAGCTTAGGAAGCTTTGTCAGATTCATTTTGTGCGTGATTATATTTGAGTCAGGGTGAAAGGGCCGTCAGAGTTGGGTTTAATATATGAAACCATATGGATGCTTGAGAGAGCCAAGGCCCTGTGAACACAAACAGACCTAATTACAGGGCCCAGAGCGTGAGGCCTTCCCACTCATTTCAGGAAGACTTGTTTTCTTTTAGTGGAATTTCCTAAAAGGATCATGCCTGTGGATAGACCAACTCACTTACTTTTTTCTCTAATTGAAATGGTATGCAAGTCATCATTCCACTTCCTCTCACTTGTAACACTCAAACCAGGACGGTCTGCCCTTATTGGAATCAGCAGAGCTTCCTCTGTGGTCACGCGCTAGGATAGTTCATGTTCTCTAAAGATTCAAATTTCTCTACAAGATATATTTTTATGAAAATAGAACCAAGAAATGTGACCACAAATAAACTATGAGAGCACTAATTAATATTGCATGGTTCCAGATACCTAATGTCAAATCACTTGTACGACTCTCAATGTACTGTTTAATTCTACCATCTCTAAAGGCATAAACTATGTCAGAGTATCCAACTGGATTTTTTAAAATAAGCAAAATGCGTTATCTAGTTTTGCATAATGTCATAAGTCTTAATGATGCCACTTTGAATTATTTCTCTGATGAAGTACGTTAGTGATATTTTGCTGACCTTGGGGGAAAAAACCCCTCTGGAAGCCTTTTTCTATGGTTATGTGAGCAGATGAGTATTAAAGAAGTTGAGTGATCATTCGGTTAGAAAGCAGCAGCAGCCACAAAGGTTTTCTTGGTTCACAGCCTGAGAAAGAAGCAGCACCGATGCAGTCTCTCTGAAGCTTTGAATTACGTCTTCTAGGAATTATACTTTGTATTTTTTAGTTAACAATTCTGAGGGATCAATGGGGAGAGCCGCAAATAAAAATGTTTTTAGTTATTTTTGCTGAAATTATGCTGAAACAAGGATATGTAATAAGTTTAAAACAAGTATTCATATATATATCTAAACACAACCTAGTAATGTTTTTTCTCATGAATTTATTACCCAGAAACATTTTCATCCTGATAAAGAATGCACACCCTGCAGAAGTATAATCTTTTCAAAAAGTAAATATACATCATGAAATTATTCTACTCTCGAAATAATGATAAATTTAATAAACTAATTATACTTTATTTTTTTCA